TCAAGTTTCTGAGGTCTACTATTTCCAGTATTACTGTTATTATTACAAAAATAAAGGTAATTTTTTTGTTATTCTACACCCATCCATTTATTTATGTCTTTGATTTAATTTCCACTTTGCTACTAACAATTTTTATAACTTTCACTATTTTTTGCTAGTATTTTACAATTTTCAACATAGCAACTCTGGTTGCTTATTGTGTTGTATTTAAAAAAAAAATGTATACTGCATTTGATATGCCAAAATTACAAAATATCAGCCTAAAATGCACGAATTATCCGCAGCTAGCGCTAGTATCGCTTTTGCTTCCCCTACTATGACTTCGCACTGAGCGAATAACGTCTACCATAAAACTGACTGACTTACTTCAGGATCACCGACTTATGTAGCTCGATTTAACCTTCTAGGACCGTCCCAAACGTCCAGATGTTTCTTGATGTGGAATGACATTTCTCGAATATTCTCCCTTCTTTTACTCATACCTTTACATGACGACCGCAGCACACTGCAGGGTGATGGGTAACATTGCTTCACCCTCTCTAGTTTTTCGTCCCGAATAACTTGATTACTGGGCCCTGGTTGAAGCTAACGGGGAGGATCTGAACCACATGGAGCTAACTTTCCAATGTGAAATACCTTGGGTTTGCTTCCCGCTGCCAGCCGAATGCGGTAGGTAGTTGATTTTCCTTAGGAATGGTGTAGCGGCCCTTCCTAGTTCCGTTGCAGTTTCTGACAGAGTCCTACTGGGTCACCTCTCTCAAAAATGTGTTCCGGTGGCACGCATCTCGATTCTAGCTTCTGCTTTGTCACTGTTGGCTTTCAGACGTTCCTGAGCGACTTCGTAGACCTTTACCAACCGGCTACAACCCGTCGGCAATTGCCCCAATAAATTTTTCCCAATTTTGTGCCAGTGTCCTTTTAATACCAAAATGTCCTCCCGAACGGTTGCTATGAAGCCCCTTCAACACACTTCTGACATGTGATTTCGGCAGTACTACTTGGCGGGCTACATATGCTCCATCGGGGCTCTCCCACTTCCGGAGCAATAGGCCATTGTGAAGATACAGGGAATCCCTCTGATACCAGTACGCTTTTGTATTTGGCTATCTCTTGCCAAGTAAGTGTTTATTTTTGAGCCACTCTCGGACAACCTTCGAGTCATTGTCTTTCTTCAGCCCCTTTCTCAGGCTTTCAAGGGTGATTTCTTCTTCGTCGTCCTCTGGCTTGATAGTAGTTGCCCGAAGAGTAACTTTATCAACCGGTTCCTCTCGTTCTCCGAGGACTTTACTGTACCGGCATTGTCGTCCTAAACAGGGTCGCCTGGAGAAAATATCTGTGTTGGTATGGGGACGCCCTCTTCGATGCTTTACTTCCTGGTTATTGCTAGAAAACCGGTTAGATGTGGATGATCGGCTTCTCCGGGCTACTTATCTGCTGTACTTTTTTCGTGTTGGACTTCGTGACAAGCTTCGGGAGATTAATCTATAAAACAGATTCAGTTAATTTAAAAATATCGCGACGAATTGAGAACCTCCTCCTTTTTTGAAGTCTGTTACAAAACGTCCACATAGGTCAAATAAAACTAGAAAACTAGAACAAAAATGAAAGCGCCTGAAACCATCTAAGCATTACGAGAAGAAAACGTAAATGTTTTAAAAATATTTGCCTTTTGGGTAAAACATTTGGCAATGTAACAATGTATAGCTATTCTATGGGATAGTCTTTGTCAGCAATATTCAAGGGTAATATAACGAGACCTTGATAAATAGTCGATTATTTTTAATGTATCTAAATTTTGAGTGATTTTGATATCAATTTGTCGAGACATAATTGTATCATTAATAATCTTAATAGAGTCCGAGATTCAAATTGCAAAATATATGAAAAATTTAGTAACAAAAATAGGTGCTAATTTATTAAGGTCGAGTTATATTTTATAAGATTATTTCTAGAGCCCTAAATGTAACTTAAATTAATAAATACACAATAAAATAACTTCTATTTTCGGTTCATTTTGAAACGTTTCACGAGATATTAGCTTGTACTCTGATAATAAATATATTTGACAGTAGCCGTTGTTAAAAATATTATACCTATAATCAAGTATGAGAGTTGCTGTCAACATAGATGAATATCCAAGCATGGATAGTCGATTTGAAATAATCAGTGAAAATAGTCGATTTATTTGGTTCTGATTGGTTCCAACGATAACGTAAATTGCGATGTGATTGGTTAAAATGTGAAAGTTAACAGGCGAGAGAAATAATCATCAATAATGGGTTTTCAATCACAATTTTCTTCTGAATGGATCTATTAATGTTTTATTGTATAAATGAATACCATAATTTATTGTTTTTACGTAATTAAGATTAAAAATTCAGATACCTTCTTATAGTCCAACAAAAAAATCTGACAGTCAAAAATGTTATACTTCACGAGGTAAATTTTAAGACAGCAGCTCCTGTTCCATGTGGTTATAATCCTACAGCAGACCATGAACACTTTTCGTTAATGGCTTCTTGTATCATTTGATAAGTGGCATATTGGAAATAATTTAATTTCTTTTGATGTGACCCAGATTTCAATCACAGTGGGTTATCGTGTCGATAGGGGTGAGCGGGCGGGGTTGTCCTAACCTTTTAGTGGAATAATATATGTCATCTGTAAGTCGTCCAGAAGCACCACAGCAAATATTAAATAATAGTCGTTCCTTCCTCTTACAAGCTTTGGTATAAGGGGGTCCACTTATTATGGGGAAAAGTGATCTACAAAAAAAAGGTTCTAATATAGACAATGATAGAAATCATGTATATCGGAGAGTACAGTTCTTCTTTTTAACCGACTTCAAAAAAGGAGGAGGTTATCATTAGTCAAAATCTAATAATTGGGTCCATGAGAAAATCCTCAAACTCTTCATTTTTTATGTATGTTCAGCGATAATTTTTTAACACGGTGTCCGATTTCAATAATTCTTTTTTTGTTAGAAAGGGGGTATTTCAGGGGTGGTCCCATATAAATTTAGTCAAAATCTAATAATTGGATCCATGAGAAAATCCTCAAACTCTTCATTTTTTATGTATGTTTAGCGATAATGCTTTACCACCTTGTCCGATTTATACGATTCTTTTTTTGTTAGTAAGGGGGTACCTCAGGGGTGGTCCCATATAAATTTGCTTAAGATGTGGCATCTGCACGTTTTTGGAGTCGGTTTTTTTAAATTTTTAATTTGTAATACTTGTTTAATTGATAGTTTGAATTTAATCCAATTCTCAATTATCACGAACGTGACTAAGTATCTCTGTCTTTGTCAGTCTTGGCCTACTTTTGAAACATTTTTTGTTGGTCAAAATGATTTTTCATAGTAAGTACCTACATGAAATCTGGCTCTTCCCTAAATTTGGCTCCAAAGTTCTTTTTTAAACCAGAAGAATTGAATATTATACAGTGATAACATCTAACAGAAAAACAAAACAAAAAATATACAAAAAAATGCATCTTCAGATAAGATTTACGAATATAATTTACGCTATTAAAATTAAGCTTTTTATGATTAAAATTTAAATTTTATTTTTAGAGACATTGTATCATTAGATAAAACTACTTATTCCACTGAGTGTGATAATGGTCCTTACAAAGTGGGATATAGTAGGTAGTTTCTACTTAATATTATTTGTAGATAACATTGTATCCTCAACACTTGAGATACCAAATTAGCACAATTACATGATTACACGTATATTAACTATACATTCACCCAAAGTTTTAAAAAAAAAAATATTTTGAAAATTGTTAATTTATGATATTTAAGACCTACTACTTGCGCCGACAGTGTTTGCTAGTAGACTCGTGGATTTGTAAGTTAACTAAACTTTATTAAGGCCGCCACAGTACCCCAGGGTTTTCATAATAGGAATTACGCTTAGAGCTGGGCAAACTAGTTTCAAAAAGTAGTTGCGTAAAACTACTAACTACTTTAGAAAAAACAATTAATTACAATGTAGTTGAATTACTCCCATTCGAAAGTAATTACACTACTTTTAGTTAAAATTTCAACAACTTTTTATTACTACTATTTCATTGACTAAGTTTGGTAGACTTTTCTAGTGTTGATTAAACTATATGAAGCAAAAATATAAGTTCTAGTCCGATTTCGTTTGTTTCGTAGATAATAGGTCGCATTCTTAATGCAGCAAACACTCGTTCACTGAAACTCGCTAATATAGATGGAGGAATTGGAAGTATCAAGTTATTGTTTTTCCGAGTATAGGTATTGTCTTGATTCAGATTACATACCTTTATTATTTTTATGAATTAAGCTCACTGCCTCTAATATAAATAAGCTAGTCAGTGTTAATATTTGGAGTTCAATAAATAAAGGTTTACAGTGATCTGTATAACCAGCTTTGGCTAATAATCTTACATCCCTCTTTTGAAGAGTCCAGAAAATACAAGCTATTTTCCCAAAACACAATTCCATACTTGAAATGGGATTCTATTAAAGCTTAATAAACTGTTTTTGCCAGCAAGGTACCCGGACTGCAAAGCAGTCGGAAACTAATTTATTGTTAAGGTTCTTGATGTGTTCATCAAACTTTAAATGATTGTCTATATGAAGGCCAAGGAATTTGGAGCATTGCACATTAACTGTGGTCGGTTTGCTGAGAACAAGTTCATTCGTACGTTAAAACTCCTTAGCAATTTGCTGCGTGTTTGTAACCACATGGCATTAATTGGTGCCAGTACATGTCATGTGAATTTATTAACTACAGATCATAAATATGGTTTATTTAACAGAAAATCATAAAATAACAATTTCTCAAAGGAGATAAAACAAGAACATATCAAAGTTGATTGATTGACGCCGATTAGAACTATTTAAAATAAATAATTATACAATTATTTCTGCAACTTGCATTGCTTGTTTTTAAAAATTATAAGTAAAATTCATATTTAATGATTTGGATTACGCCCCTAATTTTCTATTTTCTTTAATTTTTTAGATAAATATGCCGCCCTTTGGCCTTTCCTAGGAATCTGCGCCGAAGTTATCATTTTATGTGCCATTATTATAGTATATGAGAAAAAACGCAATAAGACCGAACTCGAAGAAAGTGATACAGACCAAAGTCCAGACCAGTAAGTATTATTAATCCAGAGAAATTGATGTACAGGGTTTGTCCGGAAAGTAATGCAATTTGTTTTTCACGCCGTTTCACCTGATCGCGGCTTGTTGGGAATGATTGGGTTAGGGGAACTTTTAACTTTACAACAAACCCAAGCCCAGTTTGTTCAGAGATCTGAAAGGGTCAGCATTAACGTTTCTGTGAACCTCCTGTCAGTGCCTGTGTCACGAAATGAACGTGAAGCTCATATTCAAGAAAACTGGCAAAAAATTAAAACTATTTTTTGTCGATGCTGATAGGGCTAATAATAAAAACGACAGAAAATCATAGAGTGGATTTGTGATAATGTTTGCAGATGTTGCAGTTGTTTAACAAACCAAAAAACAAGTGTGTCCCTTTCAATCATAGAAGTGGAATATGTTGCACTGTCCGAATTTGATTAAATAATTTACCAGACCCTGGTATTATTTTTGTCATAATCGGGGAGCGATTAGTTTGACAAAAAATAACGTAATATCTATTAGAACTAAACACATTGACATTAGATTGCATTTTCCAAGAGATTTAGTCGATAGTCGCGAATTGTTATTTAATTATGATTCTACTATTATTATTAATTTGGCTCAAATTTTTACATTTTTAACTGTGAATAAAATAATGTAAGAGTTTTTGTTATATCAATAATTGGAAATAAGCTCAACAAGGGAAGTGTTAAAAATACAAAATTGTTGAATGCATTAGTATAACATAGACATAGAGTTAATGTATATTTTGAAGTATATTTTACCCTTTAAAGTTTATGTTCATTAATTTTTGTATTTTTTTGGTAAAAAATATATAGAAAAATGTCGTCTTTATGATTTAACTATAAATCGTACAAGCATGTAATAAGGAATAGCCATGACAACAGCTGATACTCATCAAATAATTCAGGAAGCTTACGGAGACTACTCTCTCATATTCTCAAGTTTCTAGGTGATTAAAATGGCCGGGAAGAAGTGAAGACTAACACACATCCACTATGTGCTCTTTTGAATATCGATTGTCGAATGAGTATTCGGATAACGACCATGGACCATGAAAATGGAATTTAAACCTCCAGAACTCCTAAACACAAAACTAAACTTTGCAACAGAGGTGAAGTACTTAGGAGGTCTCACCTTTGACAGCAAGTTAACATGGAACTCACATTTAGAAAACAAGAGTCAAAAGAGCATACATTGCTTATAAACAATGCCGCCGAACCGAGGGGCGCACCTGGGGTTTCTCCCTCAGATTCGTCGCTTGGAACTTACACAGCTATCCGGAAACTAGAATAAATTCAAAGAACATCATGTCTCAACATAACAGGAGCCATGAAAACAACACCGACCAGAGCCATGGAAGTCATTCTTAGTCTCACTCCCCTTGATATTTACATCGAGGAGGTTGCTCTGACAATGACACGCCTCCGCACGGTTGGAATAGGCGCTCGATACGTTCCCACTGCTTCAAGCGAACATGGACTCCATCTCACCGAGATATATCTTCCATAAGCCATATAAAGTTGTAACAGAAAAATAAATGAGCCGGAAGTAGGTACGATTCATATCTACACGGACGGTTCTATAACAAAACAAGGCTCAGGATGTGGAATATACTCCAAATCCTTAAACCTTAACATAAAATGGGCTGTGAGCAGTTCAAACAGAGCACACGGGAATTCTCATAGCAACAAAAGAAATCACCAGAAACAATATGACTGAAAGGAACATGCTCATCTATACAGATAGCAGACAAGCACTACTCACCCTGAACAGACCACGAATTTATTCAGGGTTAGTACTAGAATGTCACGAAGTTTTGGCTGAAGTATCCATTAACAATGTGGTCACCTTAAGATGAATCAAATGTCACGCCACATCGAAAGGTAACCGTCTTGCTGATTCACTGGCCAAGAAAGCGTCCAACCAAATACTTTTTGGACCTGGCCCTTCTATTGGCCTGACAAAATCGGTAGTGACAGACCTAATAAAGAACATTCCCTTGTGAAATTCAAGGAAAGATGGGATGAAACAAGAAACTGCAGAGTTGTCAGGGAGCTTTTAAGTTATCCTGACAACACTGCAGCAAACAAATAATTGTCTATGACTAGACAGAATCTGTGCCTAGTCACAGGCATTCTGACTGGTCATTGCCAAGTACGGAAGCATCTACATATCATGGGGCTGTCAGAATCCGCACTCTGCAGATGGTGCGAACAAGAAGATGAGACCATCGAGCATATCCTCTACGATTGCTCGACGTTCTCATTTATTAGGAGATTTGTGTTCGGTGAGTATCGGCTAACACCGGCCGATATAAGAGACCGGCGACCTTGTCAACTACATTAAATCTGTAGGCTCGCTCACAAGCTAGGAGGTGCCTATCGTCTTAGGAGGATGCATAATGGGCCTAGTGAGGCCTAAGTGCCATGGGGGTAACCCACCCTCGACATGTTACAGATACAGAACGACCACTATATGCGGAAGTGTTTTGATAGATTAAGAAACAGGATTATCCGATGTGGTAAAGAGATGCTGCTACCAACGTTCCCAGCCACTTTTCTTTACGCATTCGGAAGTTTCTGACTAAGCACATCTTAGCAACGTTGACCCAGTCTCCCTACTGTCCTGACCTGTCTCCAGCCCGTTTTAAATACTTTGAAGCGATCCAAACCGCCGTGACCAAAGCCTTTGATCAAGGTTCCCGTCGACTCCTTTCAGGTTGCGTACCGTGCACGGTAACATCGCTGGCAAACATGTATTGATACCCAAGGGGAACATTTTGAAAATTTTAAAAGTTTAACGATATCTTTAATAATTTTTTTACTAACTAATTTGCATTACTTTCCATGGAATGCCTATATTTCTTCCACTTCCATTTTCACACGTTGTAAATCAGTTCATATTTAGTAATTTAGCACCGACTCGATAGCTCTTGTGTCAGATGTTCAGTCATTTAAAGACAATGGTTCGAGTTCTACATTAAACCAGGTGTGAATTTTCCTTTATTTTTGGAAGATTCGTTGTAGTATTTGTGGGCTATCATGTCGTCGATAGTGGTGAAGATTTTCTGGTTTTTAAAAACCTTCATGTCAAATGGTACCATCAATAATTTCCAAATCGTTTATTCAAAGATATTTGTAAATTAACGTAGGTACCTAATCTTTTTTTTTTGACAGACTTATCTAAGGATCTAATTGATTTTAATTTTTAAATAACTGAAAATTAAAAATTAATATGGATCTTAGATTAACTGTGCTGATCTTACAAGAAAAAATAGAACATAATTTTTAATTTAATTTATAAAACTAAAAATAAATTGGTTACCGGTGCAATTGAATTATGGCGTGCCGTTGGCCTCTATCCAAGTATTTTAGAGACCGAACACAATTTTCAAATATGACCAAGTTATCAAAAGTGAGTGGGTTTTTACAACCGAACTTTTGTCATTAAATACGAAATAAAATGTATACTAAAATACAAATTTCTTGTGTTTTGAGGCAAATAATGTAAAACAAGTAATATCTTTATATGATCGCATAAGAAATAATAGTAGCAGTTATGATGGAAAATAAGATTTTAAATTTTAGTTAACTATAGTAATTTAAATATATGAATAATTTGGAATTGGTTTAAGTTCTCTACAGATTTCTAAATTTTAAATAAATTAATTTTTTAATTCTGCTCAACATTTCTCAAATGGAAGTTGTAGAGAGCAATGAAAGCTATGTTTCAATAATAATTACCAATAGTACGATAAATGTATGTGTTTTTAATGAAATACCCTATATAATTTCACTCGATTGAATTCCTTTGGAAGAACGTTTCTCTTAAGGTTGTATGGGTTTATACCATGTGATTCGGAATTTATGGTGAGATTTGTCACAAAATGGGTTAATTCAACACCAAATATTTCAAAATCAATAATTTGGAATATATTTTTTCCACCAAATATCTTCGAAAATGGTGTGTTTTCATTACTATCAATAATTCTAACGAGTGGCGCTTTTCCCGTACAGAAACAACTCGGAATCACTTTTTCTGTATCTTCAAATGGAAAATAATGTAAATAAGGCCATACCAAATAGTCCATACTATGAGCTTTCAGAAAATGTAGGGTTTGCACTTGATTTTCATCGGAAAGAAAATGACGAAAAAATCATTAAAGCAATAATGACTTATTCTTAAAAAATATAAAAAAGCGTAAATTCACAGCAGATGTTCAAACAATCTTCCATTTTGATTATGTACAAATTAAGTCTACAATAATTATTGCTCTTCAAACATCAATTAAAGTTCGTCTTGTAATAAAGCGATCAAATCATCTTTGGAATATTTGAATGGTTTAGGAATTGTCAACAAACTTGACTTTAGATTAGAAATAATTAGGACTGTGGGCCATGTGGCCTCCCCCACCTCAACCTTTTCAGATCTATTGTGGATATCCTCTAATCGTTATTTACAGTACCTTGCTTAATTCGGTCTTTTGTAGTAGACTCCATAGACTGGGAAGTAGTTCTCCGGTATAGCTAATTGCCCTTGGTTTTTTTTCTCCAATACCTGTTCTGCCATTTCCTCTTCCTTGTGACCGAATCGGCACAAGGTGTCTTCTGTCAGTCCGATATTATACATATGTTTGTTAAGCCTACAATGCCCTGTTAATAGACCTACTAGTACTCTAGTAGTTTTCCTATTAAGGAGGTCCTTTCGCCACCAATGTTAAATAAATAAAAAATATTAGATTATGACTAAAATTAATTTTTTTTCTAATAGTAGATGTCCTTATTTATCTAATAGTGAACTTTTAATTATACCTTACCGTGCAAATATTTGAGAAAATTGTTTTTTAAAAATGTGTGTGTTTGTACAGTTTCTTATGAGAAAGTAAGACTTCAACAACAATTTTTGAATTATAATTAATTTTACTATTATTTATTGATTAGATGGAGTAGAAAAAAACTAAAAATAAGGTTTTTGAAATATTTAGGTT